ATAGCTACCTCTTTATTGCTTAGGCCGATTATCATTCGAGGCCTAACGTTTTGATACGATTCTACTGATAGTCCCTTTAAATGTTTATACTTATCGGTAAGTTCTGTCATATTTAAAGATTGCTCGGGTAGCTCCAGCTTAGCTACTGAACGCACATTGCACAACGAATACCTTTGACCTTCTCGTATTTTGGAGACTTGCAGGTTGCCCAGCTCAGAATCAGGTTCCTTGCGTACCGTACCATCTGTCCATCGTAAACAAAGATCTTTCGTTTCACCTTTAATCCGCAGTTGTCTTAATACGTCTTTTTCTATTAACGTTGGAACCGATCCGTCATCCAGAAAGGCATAAATGTTGCAGGTATCACCATTTCCATATATTGTTACTGGAACAATTCTGTACAGCGCTTGTGAAGTTAGTTGATGATGAACCGCTAACGTTTCATTTGCCCCACTTGCAGTTGAACTTATTTGTTTATGTAGCAATGGGTGATGTTTCATGTTGCAATTGTGTATACCGCACTCTCGGGTCTTCTTGCACGTTCGAAAATTATGCTGCGGTAGACATCTTCCACATAGTCTCATTGCACGCACTACGTCCCACCTCGCGTCTGTTTTTAGTGTTCTAAACTTTGCACACTTTTTCAACGCATGTGCCTCCTTGCAATAAAAGCATGCTAGAGTTTTGTGCTTATCGGCTACTGCACCCTGAGGTTCTTCTTCATGAAAATTAATGCGTTGCGCTTTGCGCCTTTCATTATCTGCACTGGCTCCAGCACCAAAAACTGGCGATATATTACTTGCTGCTTCTGCTAGTTCATATATCCAGTTGCCGAATGTTTTAAGTGTTACATTGATATTACGCGATGCAACAGCCCACTGCAATCGCATTTGCGGTGGTAGTTTTTCTACAAGCTCTTGGATAAGCAACGGGTTCACTAAGTATGAATGTAACTCTGAAGCCTCCATAGTTGCGATCAAATTTTTTACCTCTAAGGCGAACGTAACAATTGTGTCCAGTTTATTCATATTAATGTTCACTGCTCGAATTTTGGTAATTAAGTTATTGATTATGTGTTCTGGTCTTCCAAATACCATTTGAAGAGTTGAAATTATTTCCGGCACTAATGCCGGTATCATGAGCCTACTGCTGACATATTCAAGTGCCTTACCCTTAAGGGCACGTTGCAATCGTAAAAGATTCTCGTCTTCACTGAAACCGCATAAACGTGTTGAATTGCTGAAACTGCTGTAGAAAAGTGACCACTCTTCCGGCTTTCCGGTAAATATTGGCAAATCTCGTGGAACGACATGACGCGCATTAATTTGTTCTATCTTCAGCGCCGGTATAACTTTCGATAGTGCTTGGGTTTCCGCCCTATCAGCTGAACCACCCAACTGAACACCACAACCTACGTTTGGTTTGCTGTCATCGTTGTTCATACCAACCTGCTTCTTCACCTATTCTAACGTCCTCTGTGTCCTTACCTCACTCATGACTTCACCCTTAACATCATCCTCGCCTACATACTTCAGCATTATTGCACGTTTCTTTTCTATATATTTCATTTCGGCTTTCCTTTGCTTTTCTAAATACTGCAGTTCGATTCTCATGCTGTTTCTTGACATGATTAAACCGCCCTTACTTACCAAGTCCTCCTCACTTGGTACCTTATTTGGAACCCCTTCTGAAACCTGCATTACCGTATTGCATTTATCGCAACTCCAATGCAAGTCTGCAATGCTGTCATCCACGCCCACGCATGCAAAATGACTCCATTGGTCACATGCGCCGCATTGCTCCATCTTTCCTCTTTCGACCTTTTTGCACACGGTACATTGTACAGTCGACTTCTGGCTGCCGGATGACATATTTTTCTTTTTATATGTGTTCCAGATTAAAAGGATTTTTCCGGATTTCTTTCCAGGCAAATCGCCACAATATTTTTTTTCTCGATTGCCGCAAGATTCTTACAGATTGCCACAAAAATTTTAAAGTTTGTTGTTGACCAGTTTTAATAGCATAACGTAGTTGTTTGTGTGTATGTGATGCTTTAAAATCTTAAAACAAATTTATTCATTTCCAGTACTTAAAATTAATTATTTTTCACTTACTTTTGGTCGTGACAACCGCCTTGCCTCTTCCCGAACTCAAAAACAAAAGCCAAGCTTAAATGACAATCAGCCGAACTGACAGTTCATGTGTGCACTGGGTTGCATTTTCTAATTATAGCTGCACGGTGGCAACGACCAAAGCAAGTTTACAAACATTTTACAAACATTAACCTTTGGGTATGGAGTGGAGTTCTAACAGTATATATAAATATACCTACTAAAATCTACGAAAATAAAAACAGAATTTGAAATAATATAAAAAAAAACTCTGAGCTTAAAATATGATTAATTAATTTTTAAAATTGAAAACAATTGAACTATTATTTGCTAATATAATAACATGGTAATACTCAAATATTGAAATATAATTTTGCTTGACCATAGTGATCCATTGTACGCAACGATCTTGAAAAATTTGAACAGTGTAAATGCAGGATAATATATATTGTATATATTAAGCATATATACTGTATATTAACTTATATATTAATTATTTTTTTATATTGTTATTTATATTTAACAAAATATTGTGATTGCTTATTATTATCTACCGGTATTTGTAAAGATATTGTAAATTGTTTTAAATACATTTATTGCTATATACATATTACATATATACATATATATAAAAATTGTTCAATAAAATAAAGCATGAATTAAAAAGAAATAGTTTGTTGTACTACATCTTACATCGCAACGGTGGAAGCTACGTTGGTTAAACGTTTGGGTCTCCGCGAATATAAATTTCTTGTAAGACCTTGGACTGGGCTGAGAACTACCCCGGATACGAAAAATTAGGTTCATTACAATCTATAAAAGATACTGCAGTCGAATGCTCCGACGAAGTCAAATATCTAGGGGTCACCGTAGATAAGTGTGTTAACTGAAACACTCACCTGGACAACGTAATTGGTAAAGCCACAAGGGTCATATGGACATGTAGGAACACATATGGTAGATCCTGGGACCTTAGTCCCAGAATTCTCTCATGGGTTTACCGTACAACTGTCAGACCCATTGAATCCTATGCAGCTCTTGTTTGGTGGCACAAGAAAAAGCTGCAATACTCAAATGCAATAAACTGCAAAGACTCACATGTATCGCTATGACGGAAACTATTAGAACATGTCCCACATCAGCACTGGAGACCATAGTGGATTTTACCCCTTTACACCTCTTCACTAAAAAGACAGCAGCCCTGAGTGGAGCTAGGCTACATTCTGATATCAATATGCACAAAAGTCTTAACATTCAAAACTCTATCTGCAGACTAGTTCGTAGCATAGAGATCTGCGATAGGACAGATCGCATGAACAGGAACTTCGTTTCGGTAGAAAGTTCGAAGTTCTCATTCCCGATCGATTGAACTGGAAAAATGGCACTCCTGGAGCAGAACCAGAAATCATTTTATGGTTCACCGATGGTTCAATAACCAAAGAAGCAGTTGGTGCTGGAATATTTGGTCCTAACACCAGAATCTCGCAAGCGTTGGGTATATGGCCCACTGAGGTTCAGAGGTTCACGCTATCGAGGTCAAATAGTCAAGCAACAGTCAAATCTCTATCCCCCTGGAGGTTTTTCTCAAAACTTTTATTAGACTGCTTTGATGTGCCGCAGCAGCTAGCAAGCAAAAACAAAGCGACGCTTTGCTGGGTGCCTGCCCAGCCTTGATCTGGGCAAGGAGGAGGTCACAGGGAGGAGAGTTGCTCTCTCCTTTTGACATTAGGAGGTCCTCAACGGACGCCATTCTGGCTTTCATTGGAAAAGCGGAACGTCTTCTGTTCGGTTAGGATCAGTTGCAGCACAAAAGATCAATCTGGTAGCAGTGCTCTGCACCGTTGGGAATAATTTCTACACACGTAAATAATGAAATTAACTCACTTGCAATAAAAGAACTTATGAAAACTCGAAGACTCAATAGAACACGACCCCTGGATCTTATTTCGAATAATATCTTCAATAAACTAGACCTTATTATTGAATAAGTTGTGGACATAAAACTTTCCTTCATCAGACTTAAACATATACTTAATGTTTTTTTACTATAAAAAAAAACATTGTGTTTGCAAAACGAAAAAATGTAAATTGCAAACACAATGTTGGCGCAACAAATTTGGTGTTTTTATTACTTTTGGGAATTACTTTTTTGTTGTTATGATACTTTTGATTAATTTTAAGTTTAATATGAAAAAAATGTTTAATCAATTTGTAAACTTTTTTATTTTGTTTTTATTTCAAAATTAAATCGTTTTTATTGTGCATTTAATAAACATTTGTATCATTTTTTCGTTTTGCAAACACAATGTTGACAAACCGTACATGTACATTCATTTAAAAGTACCCTTATACGTACCTTTGTCGATTATCTATTGATTTTGATTTTTTATCTATTGATGTATTTATATAAAAAAATAAATTGCACAGATATTTTAGTTATACGGCTATATTTATTTATAATTTTATTGTAAGACAGATTATGCTACGTTTGAAATTTAGATAGTTGTACTTATATATATACATACTAAAATCTTCCGCACGATAATTTTCAGTATAAACAAATATTTAAAATTTAGTGCACATAATAATGAATGTTAGATATAGAAGTCTTACTTTGTAATATATTTGATTATTAACTTACTCGAGATGTTTTCAAATCAAGATGTTTTCAACTCGAGATATTTTCAATTTTTTTATTATTGTTACTATTTATTATTGAACGACTTTTTACACTTTCAAAAGAAATTTATTCAAAATATTATCGTATATTTTGTTTAGTTTTCCCTGAAGATGACTATCGAAGATAGTCGAAATATCGGAAGAATTATTTTTAATAAAGTATAAATGATTTTTAAATATAAATAATAAATTAGTGTCTTTTTTATTTCTATTTAAATTTGACCAATTAGCCCGATAACAAATTATTATAATAAGAAATTTATCAAATGGTTAATGTTCTAGCTGGAAGATTTAGACTTATATTTTACAATGTAAAAATAAAAATATGTAATTAATTAAATTTTGATGAGCACATTTAAATATTTTTAAAATGTCTGACTGCTAAGTCCACAGGCAGATCAAAATGGTATTCGTTTAGTGTATTAATGGAACTAAGAGAATCTCGAAATCCTGTTCGCACTACATAGCTCTCGGACGTATAGTGCGTATCGATAAGGCCATTGCAACTGAATATCAAACTTAACCATTCCACCAGTTGATGTGAGCTAAAAACAAACAAAAAAAAAATTATTTCTATTTAAATACAATAAAATAGTATTTAAATAAAATATGATTATTTCTTTTAATATATTTTACTTATTCTGCGCTTTACACAATACTAGTTCACAGCTTTGCTGTGGCATACTGTAATATCACAATGTATTATCACGATTTAATAATATAATAAAAAATTGGTTCATAATAAAAAAGTTTTAAAATACAAACAAATACATACAACTGTGATCTCATTTAATTAAAAATGAGATCACATTTAATAACCTAATAATCAAAAGACTAGATGCATATAACTCGCTTTTAAAAGCGTTTTAAAATTTGTGCAAAAAAATAATGAACTTTGCAATACCAATTAAATTTAGAAAAGAGATGTATGAAATCAATAGAATTATGTACCGCAAAAAAGAGCTTTAAGAGACTGTTGTGTATCAAAAATAAAATTGGCCATGGTATCAAGTAAGTGACAGCACAAACATCAATCGCTTCGACAAGCGCAAAACGAGGAGGCAAATCTTGGATTTACTTTGCAAAAAAGGAGGAACTGGTGACTGACGCAGACGAGTTCGGATTAGATACCAGTGGTTCACTGGAGGAACTTTGTGAGAGACTTTCAACGTTCATGGACACACAGACAACTGAGAAAGATACCGCCTGTCTACAAGAACTCGCTAAGCTACATACCAGGAGTTCATCACCGGGAGTCATTGAAAACAGACGTCCTTCGATAACTAAGGGAGGAAGTGTAACCATGGTGGAATATCCAGTAGTAATCGATCAAGTTAGAAAGTGGGGATGACACTACTCAGGGGAAAATAAAGTACTACCATTTGTAGAACGAATCGAACTGGCGAATGTTTACGATATACATAAGAACTTACTCCCAAAGCTAATGCCCGAATTACTAAAAGACAAAGCACTGATCTGGCTGAGGAATAACAACAAGCGATGGACCGAGTGGCCATCGTTCAAAGCAGATCTATTATCATTCTTCTTGACCCCAAGATATTTCGAACATTTACAGGACAAAACACGAACCCAGTAAACTCTTCAGAGATTATGTATTAGCACTGCAGAACATCATGCAATAGGGTGGCTCAGAAAAACTAAAATGCGATTTTTAATGAGCGCACCCCCTAGGAATATGCCATTGACCAAAAAAATGATATTCCCAAAGTTTTGGAGCAATAGGATTAAAAATGACGTTGCGCCACTCGAGCAAAGTTGGGTTTTCAGGACAAAAAACAGTAATTTTTCAATTCAAGGTCATTTTTTATCTTTGTTACTTGTTTCAACACTTATTAATATATACTCATTTGATAGATAATTAAAATATCTTTTTAATAAGATACTGATGAGCAAAATTGGTTAAAAACTATGCGCAAAACACAATAATTAGTTCAGCGACTGTGCTCTGTTTTCTATATCATACGTTTTAGATGGCATGCACAATTATAGGTATATGCTACGATTTAGTTAATTATTTATAAAAAATTATAATTTCAATAAAACTTTTTTTTTCAGTAATTAATACATTGTGTTTATTATGTTTTATGACATAAATCTGACTATGTGAAGGATAATTTTTATGATAATGTTTGACTACTTGCAGAACATATTGTTTTTCCTCTTCATATTTTGTCAAAATCGAATTATAATCCATCATAAGCCTAATTCCTCTTTCAATCCTTTATCATATAAAGTCTGGTACAGAATTCAAGTTCATCTCTATAATCTTGCGTCTCCATCCATGGCGATGGATCGAAACTGATAAAACTATTAGATAGGCAAAAACGATCAAAAAAATTTGTTATTTGTCTCTTCGGTCACGAAATCAATAAGGTTCTTTGAGGAAAATAACTTCATTAGTGGGTTCCCACTCTTTATCTAACCAGAGATAGATAGCTGGAATCTTGGATCTGTGATCGGTAACTCTACTGTTACTATCTACGCAGATGGCTCAAAGATGGAAGGCGGTACGGGAGCAGGTATCTTCTCGAAAGATATGCAGATAAGACAGTGCTACCGAATCCCTGCTACTTACAGCGTCTTTCACGGCGAGATATATGCTATCGAAAAAGATGTCAACATTAAACAACAAAGTACAATTCGTCATTCGAATTTCATGATTTTTGTAGATAGGCAGCACTGAAAGCAATTGAATCTAAATTCCAAGATAGTATTAAAATGTCGCTATTCACTGATGAGCATCAAACATCATTAGGTCTCTCTTTGTTGGGCATAGTACATTTCGAATACTTGGACATAGCAATATTGAAGGAAATGAACTAGCAGATGAGATGGCCAGAAGAGGTTCTGAATTGCATACAGGAGATGCCGACCTCTCAATACATACACCGATATGTAAACTGTTTAGGATAATAGAGGGAATCAATACGGTGACTAACAATTTATAAACTAACCGCGAAGACTGTAAGGTCGCTAGAATCTTAAGGCCTAAGTTGGACAAAAATAAAACGAAAACCCTTCAAGGTTTGAGCAAACCTGCAGTTCGTGTGCAGGGGCACTGTGCCATTGCGCCTATGCTCCAACGGTGGCGAGTTCCAACAAGTGGATTATACAGGAGTTGCCAAGATGAAGAGGAGGTAAAATCTATCAACCACTTCCTGTGTCTCTGTCCAGGACTTCAAACAAGCCTACTTTAATGTCTTGGGGATCCTTATTTTACTGGCTTGGAAGAGATAACGAAAGCAAACTTATCGAATCTCCTCAACTTCATCTGGAAAACCAAATGGGTTTACAAGAATAACAAAGGTTAGCAACTCGCATTTCCTGGTAAAATTTTTTAAGGGCATCCCAATGGGTAATATATGTCTCCGAGTAGAAGTGCTTACAACTGTTAGTACGTGCCTTCCGAACATAACCTAACCTAGTGTGGGTTAAAATGTTCACACATATGCTCACTATAAAAACGTATATATCTCGTACAAATCATCCGAGTTATATGTAAATTGATCTCTTAAAAGAAATATTTTTAGTAAGTACATGATTTTCGCCATCCATCGAGAATCTTAGATGGCACCTGGGCGCCATACCTACAACTACAAAATATGTATAGCGTAGCGATCCGAAACCTTGCGTTTGTCAAGGGCGGAAACTAAACTAGGAGTGATAAATTGAATCGTTCTGTCTGCGTTATCCCAATTTTGTTGAACTGTGTCTAAAGATTCAGCTTCCATTTTGAGACAAATTTCTTCATCGAATTTATTCAAATTAAAATCAATGCAATTTTTAGCCGCTCTTGCTTCGTTTGCTAAAAGGATATTAACTTCAGTCATACTCCCTGTACGACCATTTTCTCTTTGCTTACTAAAAAATTATTGTTTTGACTACTTTTTCAATTCTACTTAAATATCTATATAAATTATTAAGTAGAAATGTATTATTTTTATTTTTTATTTATGTTTCTTCCGTTTCTTGTAAACATTTGCGATAGCATTGTGCATGCCAGCTAAAAGGTATGAAATAGAAAACAGAGCACAGTCGCTGAACTAATTATTGTGTTTTGCGCATAGTTTTTAACCGATTTTGCTCATCAGTATCTTATTAAAAAGATATTTTAATTATCTATCAAATGAGTATATATTAATAAGTGTTGAAACAAGTAACAAAGATAAAAAATGACCTTGAATTGAAAAATTACTGTTTTTTGTCCTGAAAACCCAACTTTGCTCGAGTGGCGGAACGTCATTTTTAATCCTATTGCTCCAAAACTATGGGAATATCATTTTTTTGGTCAATGGCATATTCCTAGGTGGTGCGCTCATTCAAAACTTCATTTTTAATTTTCCCCCTTATAACGTGAGCCACCCTAATCATGCAACATTCATCATACGCCAATGAAACGAAAATAGAGAGGATCTATCGGAACAGTCGGACCGAGTATCAATGTTACATCCGTAGGAAAAATTTTCAGTCACTAGCAGAACTGTTGACATTAGCAGGGGACCTGGAGGCACTAACAATTACAGACCGTCAAGGAAGGAATACACTACCGGCTAAAGAAACCAAAGCAAGAGTAATTGATGCGTCCGAAGACAAGATAAAGGATGTCATGCCGGCTTGTCGTCGTTGCGGTCAACAAGGACACTTGAGGTGGAATTGTCGCTTCACAAGCATCTTATTTTACTGGGAATATGGAAAAAGAGGAAAACGTACAATTGATTGCTGCAGGAACCAGGGAAACGAGGTCAGGGACCATCGACAGAACGGGGCGATGAAACTACAAGACAACACCCCGTCCAACCAGTAGGATGCATGAAGCTCGGCTTAAGGTACTACTAATCATGAAGTCATAAGAGCAACTATCGATACAGGATCCTTGCGGAGTTTCATCAATTTCCAAACAGCAGCAAAACTTAAGGGAAATATCAGCCTTAGCTCAGAACCCAAGTAAGTACGTATGGCGGACAACACTCCACCAAGCAACAAATGGCAACATGTATCACGTTCGCGACAAGAACCACAAAGTTAAGATTAATTCTACCTGATCCAAACCTGATCGATGAGGTAATTTAGGGACTGGCCTTCTTGGCTGATATGGGAGCCTCACTAACATGCAGAGGCCAAAAATTACAGTTTAGATATCACAAACACGAAACTACGGTAGCAAGCACCATGGAAGTGTCAACATCAAAACAAAGGACAATGGATGAAAATTTCAAGGAATTCTTGAAACCGGAGTTAGATAAGTTCTCACAGATTAAAGAACCCAGTAACATCACGGAACATCTCATTATCATGCGTTACGAGCAACCCATCAAAAAGCAATATTACCCACGCAACTCGGAATTAACAGTGAAAAGTGCGAGATTTTTAAACGTCAACGAAATACCTAGGACATGCCATAAGCGAACAAAGTATACACACTGATCCAGGAAAAGTTGAAGCGATACGAAAATTAAACCCACCAACAAGTCTAAAACAACTCCAATATAATACACCCGTTAACCACACTCTTAAAAAAAGGTAA